TGTCGTTTAGATTTATCGATGTTCGAACAAGGGCTGTTGCTTACGACTGGAAAACAACATTGGGTGCAGGTGGTGAGAAAGCTTTGATATGATCATAAAATCTACAAAAAAAATATTTGAATATTAAGGTCAAGTAAAAACACTTGCTATTAGTCCAAATGCACATGCAGCTGTTATTGGATTTACAACGGGTACTGTTTCAGTGTTTGATGTTCGTTCAGGCGGTATTTTAGGAACGTTGAAAGTACCCGAAGGAGAAGTTTTGAAAGTAATCAATTAAAATTTATTAATATTCAAATAATTCTTTGATCGCCTTTTTTCTTTTTACTTTTCAGGCAAATTTTTATAGTCGTAGTCGATTTTTTACGAGTTCAGGTGATGGTTCAATATTTCTTTGGAACACAAAAGAATTAGCACAAGCAACACCTGCATTATTAAAATGTAATATATTTAATTTTGATTGAAAACAAAAATATTTGAAATTTTTCTTATTTTAAAGCACATACTGATCCTGCTCCATTTGTATTAACAACACGTAGTGGAGAATTTATTGTTGCTACACAAACAAATAAACTATGCATTTATTCCAATATGAAGGGAGTAGCACAGGTATATTTATTTATTTATTTTTCTTATGTTTAATTGTTAATGCTTTATGTTTTTTTTTTCATGAATTAAAAGATGGATTGTCAGTGTACACGTCTTCAATCTGAAAATATTAAAGGTACACTTTCATCAATGGCATTATTTCCAGAAAATCGTCTTTTACTTTTCGGTTCCGACAATGGAAATATTGAATTATTATGTTAATAATTACTTAAAGTATTTTTGATTTGCAATATGGATCTTTGTTTTTCCATTTTTTTTTTGTTTGATGTAATTCATTTTATATTGATTCCATTAACTTGATTTAGTATTTTTTGATAAATAGAAAAAAACATTTTTTTCCATTTTATATTATCTATCTTTTCTTGTTTTCTGTCTTTGTGAGACTGACAAGGTAACTAATGATGACATGACATGAGCAAAGTTGACAGAAGATGGTATGGATTATATATTAGCTTAGAGCAAAAGATTCGTCGTTGAGACATACTTAATGAAGGTCGGATATTGTTTAGTTGTTATCCCAGATGTCGATAACATAAATAATAATTTTAAATAAATGTAGTAAATGTGTTCACGACAATAAGTTCTAATGAAATAGAGATTACTACTCGACATCTCAAACGCTAATGTATCACATACATAATAATTATAATTTAACAAAAAAAATTATTGAAAAATTTTATTCAGCAGTTTAAAATTAATAAAAAATATATGATGAAATCGATTAATATTTTATTTATCAAAATAGAAAGTAGAAAATGAGTCATTCAGGTTTGTCCTGTTGAATAATTAGTTGGTGTCGGTTAAGTATAGCAAAGCTTTCTCGACATCAATCAAAAGAAAAGAATAACATGGAACAAGAACGCTCAAGGGTATTAAGTATAAAACAAAGAAAAAAAGACTTCGAAGTTTTTAATATTTATAATTATTCATTGAATAAAATGAACCAACATCTAGTTTTCTAATTCAGAAAAAAATACTTTAATATTACTTCATAAGACTTATTTGTATAACAGGTAAGCATGATTTTCCATATACAATAGTATTTGGTTTTTAAATAATTAAAAACAAAAAAAAAAGCTCATCAAAACTTTTATTCATGCATATAAGCTGATGTTAATCTGTTATATAATCCATTTTAAAATTATCGTCTATTATCTAGCATGAGATATTTGTCTTTTTTCTCCATAAAGAAAAAGATTTATATAGCTATGTTTCATTTATATTTATTATCATACTTATGATCAACATCATGTAACTAAACGATGAATGACATAGTTTAGAGTTATTCAAGATAAATGAAAAATAGAAAAACTGTAGATGATTTGTCGTTCATGTTGATCTCATGAGAATATGAAGAGGAAATGAAGAGACCTTGTTTTATTCGTTGACGCTTGGAACAGTGATTATCGATTCTCTTGAGAAAATCAATGAACTAATTCTCACATGTTCTTATATTCCTTCTCATTTTTACGTTATATTCTTACATTGTCTAACGTAATTATTCAAACTTTTGTTGTCATTCAATGTTACAGAATAGTTATTCTTTTTTTTCTTCTTTGTTTGATGATCGATCCAGTTTTTATTCTATTCTCTCTTGATGGTAAGATGATGATGATCATATAGTTTTATCTTTCATATTTTTCTCATATATCATTCATTCAACTGTTTTTCTCCTTGTTGACAATCAGTCGAGAGTTAACTTGTCATCAATGTGAATATCGTCTACAGTTCTGACCAGCAACAACCCTCTTGACAGTCCGTTTGTTTCATTCTTTTTTGTTCATATGAGAAAGTAAAAGAAAGATCGTTAAACATCTGTTCACATTCAGTTCGTTTGAGTACAGTAAAAGACAAAAAAAAAATCAACTGTCTTTTGCTCGCTGTCTCTGTCTCTGTCTCTCTCTTTCTCATTCTTTTTCTTTCCATTACTTTTTTTTGACACGTTCGGACAATGAACGCGTGCCACGAGAGTAGAGTCATGTACAGTTCAATTCTTGTACGTTCTGCTTCATCATCATTGTCAGTGCCACGAGAAATTAGGAAGAACGACAACGACGACGATGACGACGAGAAAAAAACGGCAACAACAGCAGGAGTAGTAAAAGCATATAGCAGCAAAACAAACAGTGAATGCATGAGAATGACTGTATGCTTACATACGTATAAATGAACACTGACTGGGTAGCTGACTGCCCTAATACATTGAAAATAGCTCCTACTTTTCATTACACAATACAGACGCGGAAGACGCTTGTACATATCACTATTATTATTATTCTTTCTTTGTCTTTCTCATTCTTTATCTCTGAGAAAAATGACAACACCGATTGCTATATGATTGTTATCCTCGATCATTACGATTTTCCACTAGCTTTCATCAGTTTTTTTCTCCTTCTTCTTTTCTTACTCCTCCTTGGTCATTGTTCATTTCCTTTAGTTATAAATAATCTTATATTATCTATTGAAGAAATATGAAGGTAAGATAAAACACAAATAAAAAAAGAAGAAGATGAAGAAGAAAGGATTCTTCTTTTTTCTGCTGTTCACATTTATCAAATAATCTCATATTTCCTTTTTTTATTCTCGATTTTCTAATATGATTATTAGAACGAATGACTAGATTCAATCTATTGTATTACGTATGATGATGATAATAATAATAATGTCGAAGAACGCACTGAAGTAATAATGATGACAATTTCGAGAGAAAGAACATACGCGATTATTTATGTACATATCATCTTATAAGATTTCTTCCTGAAGCCATATGGATATTTTTTTTGCACCTCTTTTCTTTTTTTTTGCTCTTTAAAGACAAGTCGATGTCTTTCGGCTTCTCATCTTATTCTCGCCATATCATTATTCGGTCAAGGCTTATTATTTGTTTATTTCTTTCCTTCTTTTTTTTCGATTCATGTTCTTGATGATATTCAAGCATATGTCTGTCTACTAGTAAAGAACTCACTACTTGACCATTCAAAGAAACAGTGTCGGAAGGGAAATGCGCACATTGATTATAATAATAGTATTCAATAGATGATCTATTGAATGCGGCATCAATATACAATATAGAGATCTTAACTAATAAGATAAAAAAAAGACGACAGATGCAATCAAATCAAGTGAATAAATGGCTAATACCAACGAGTGACAAGTAAAAAACTGCTATGTGTTCTCTCCTTGTGATCATCAATATAGTTGGTCGAGCACTTTTCTTATACACATGTACTCTTATACATGGTTATAGATGAGAAGGAATAGCCATTCTGCTTCACAGACTAATTGTACTCGGTTGATTTCAATTAAATTTGAACTCTGAACATTCTGTTAAATGTCTTTTTCTTTCGTTCATTTTCCCTTTTTCTTTCTGTCCTGAAGGCTATCCGAGATTGTGACCATTGAGTCCCATGAGATGTGAACGTGTAGAAGTTTATTTGGAATCTAATTAACGCCGCCGTAATTTTCCCTCTCTCTCTCTCTCTCTTTTTCTATCTTATCTCATTTCGTCATAAGATCGACATATCCGTTTTTAATTCGAACTTGACCTTGTGTTCAAACGAAACCGACATAGTCAAAAAACATGGCGGAAGTTAAAGACCCACTCATTGAGATGAGAACGATATGAAGTGTCTATATGTTAACAACGTCGTCTGCGACCAATTTAATTATACGAATAGAAAGTGACATAGGCGATTATGAGACATTTATTCTCTCAAATAACGATTAACAACGATTCATATTATAGCTTCCATAATTAGTTCGAAAATGTCATGATTGTTCTTACATTTTATACAATATTACTCCATTTATTTCTCGATTTGTTTCTCAATTGTTTGAAATATTATTAAATTTCTCCTTTTTTTCTTGTATGTGATCGTCTCATTCCCATGTCATTGGCTTTATTCTTCTTCTTTTTTCACAATAGTATCACGTTTTCCGTTGTCAGAGTCGTCACTGTGTCCTATCAACAGCAGTAGTGAAGAAGATAATAAAAAGTCGTGGCATTCGTCTTTTCTTTTCTCGTTCATGTCCTTTATTATTTTTTTCTTTCTCTCTCGTTCCTTTTTCTTTTTTTTTTTTTTACTCAAAGAACGGAAGAAGTGATGAACAATGAACATTTGTCATCATCGTCGAAGTCTCTCAACATTTTCTTCTTTTTTTTGTGTGTGTGTGCTTCTGTGTTTGATTTCTCACCGTTTTAGGAAGAGTAACATTCACATGGTTATGAGCAGAAGAAGAAAAGTTCAATGACGATAGTTACTTACTACCATTAAACATTTTATATTGTTAAAGAAAAGAAAAAAAAAGGATAAAAAGTATTCTTAGAGAAAAATGAAATGAACCTTTTTTCTTTTTCTTTTTTTTTAGAATGAAATAACTAATATTTAATAATGGAACAATACTTACGACAGCGTATTGATTGTCCACCACCAGGTGGTACACGTACATTAATTGAAGAAAAAGATAGTATTATTAAGAAACAACAAGATGAATTAAATAAACTTCAAGCTCAATTAAAAACAATACAAGCTGAACGTGATTATTTACTTTCATTACTTTCTAATGAACAACAATTAAATATTAATAATAATAATAATAATAATAATAATAATAATAATAATATGTAAGTTTTTTATGCGTATGTAATTAGTTAAGATAGCATGATATGGAGTCTCTTTTTAGTCAAGGCTATATATGCATATATTTACTTTGCATAATCAGTCTTAAGCCAAGAAACACATACACATGAATTCTGTCATTAGTAAACAAGCCGATAGATAAACGTTTGTAGTTACTATCATATATGCGTGTTAGATGAATGAACAGACTGAATACGTGTACTAACAAGGCGAATAGTGACAAGGCATTTTGATCCATCTCATTTTTTTTTATGCAGATGTCATCATTTATCAATTTTGACAATTAAACAAGCTTACAGTTTCTAGCCTTGACATTTGTCAGTTACATGGCACATTTAATGCGTATGATCTTAAAAAAAATTGGAAATACTTTTTCCTTGATTAATCAAATATTTACTTGAGTTTTGTAAAATAATATAAATGGGGAAAAGAAAATCTTTTTTTTGTACTCTTTGCTTTGTGTATTGACCGAAAAAATAATGAAAAAAAACAACGCTAATAATCAATAATCTTTGTGTGTTAAAGGAAAAATAATTACATATGATTGTTATGTTAGCTTTTTGAATATTGACCATGGCGTCATGCAAGAGTCAGCGAATAACATTTCATTTAATAACGATTTTTTCCTATTGTCACATCTGTACTTTCAACCTATAAGTTTTGTCATTACGTCCTCATTTTCTATTCTATCATAATCAGATTCATGGTCGCATTCTTTTTCTTTTGACATGAACATCATCTGTGTACGTATGATAATGAATGTTTACTTACATTTTTATATGGAATATAGATAATTTAGTTGAAGTGTCTAACATACTCCTCGCAAAAAAACTGTTTTCATCTTCACTTAATATTCATAAGGAATTAATTCAATATTATTTTATTTTAGTTCTCAACAATCAATAACAAAAATGACAAATCTTATTGATACTCGATCATCATCATCATCATCATCTACAACAACAACAATAACAAATTGTCCAATAAATGCTTACGAACTTTCACAAGAGCTTCAAGATAAACAAATTGAAATGCTTGAAAAAAAATATGGTGGTAGTTTACGATGTCGTCATGCCGCTACAATAATTCAACGTGCTTATAGACAATATAAATTACAACAAAATTTTCGTCATTTATGTGCTACAATGAAAACAAATAAACGTTTATCATGTACATTTATTGATAATAATAATACATATAGTAATAATCAAATTCAAACAATAAAACCTTTAAAACCATGTTTACGAACAACAATAAAAAAATCTTCATTACCAACACATACTGAAGATATATTAAATATTTCAACAAGTTCATCATCATCATCCAATACACCAACAAATTCTGATTCATTATCATTGAATTTTACTGATCGCCATCTTGATTTACCATCAATTAATTTTGAACATTTTATTGAAACAACAAAACAACAAAATCCAAATCGTAAACGTGTTTGTATTATAACTGATAAACCTACAAATAAAAATTTCTATGATCATACTGATAATGTAAGTGATTTTGTTGATGGTCATACAAATAAACCACTTGTACTTATTGAATCAAATACAAATAATTTAATAAATTCTAATGAACATAATGGTCTATTAAAAACTCAATCAAATTTACCAACGAATGATTTAAATTATTATAAAAATTTAACTGATTCACCCGTATATACAAGAAAAAATTCTTCACAAAAACCAACACCACCTATCCGTAGTTTATCATTAAAACCACGACCACCATTCATGCAAACAGCAAATTCTAAAACATCACCAATATGGAAACGAAAAACATCTTTAACAATAGCAACACATGATAATGACATAAATGATTATTTACTTGACAGTCCAAATCATTCATTACTTCAACGTTTAAGTCCATCGTCAACTACAAGTTCAGATCGTGATAATATGAGTTTACAATCAACAAGTAGTGGTTCTAATTCTTGTTCATTATCAAATAGTCTTGAAATACATCAACAACAAACATTACTTATTCAACATCAACCTGTTTTACATGGACAAGAACGAACGTCGAATATAAGAATTAACGAAACATATCGAAGACGTTGCTATCGTGCTGGACTCAATATATTTAATAAGTAAATATATTTATTTATATTGAATATGCAAGGTTGTTCAAAAGTCACCGAGTAGTTTTTGATTACGAATAACTTTTGATGAAGAAACGAAAGAGAACTGCAGTTTTTACGATTGAAAGGACCAGACTTGAGAACATCGAATCATGAAATTTAAAAATATTTTTAGTAGAACTTTGAAAAGCCAAGATTTCTAGAAAAACAGACTTTTAGAAGTTTTCATAGTAATTTAAATTCTAAGTACACAAACTTGTTTAATCTTGCTTTTTCAAAAGTTTTCCAAAAAATAATGAATATGTTTTTATATCCCTGAGTCTCCTCGTTTCAACGATAAAAATTACCGTTCAATTTCTTGTTTCTATCAAAAGTAATTCACAATCAAAAACTACTTGTTGACTTTTGGACCATTCTCTCTCTATATATATATATATTTATTTATTCATTCATTTTATTGAATAGAAAACCTGAACGTGGTATTCGTTATTTAATAGCACATCGTTTTCTTGAAGGAAATCCCCAAGCTGTAGCACGTTTTTTACTTTCACGTAAAGGTTTAAGTCGACAAATGATTGGAGAATATCTTGGTAATTTACAAGACTCCTTTGCAATGCAAGTATTACAGTAAGTTTTAAAGACAAAAATTTTTTGTTTTTCTTATATTGATTATTTTTTTTGTTGTGTTTAGTGCATTTGTAAATGAATTCGATTTTCAAGATATGCCTATTGATGTAGCATTAAGAAAATTTCAATCAACTTTTCGATTACCAGTAAGAAAAATGAGAAAAAAAAATCAATTATATTCTTCTTCTTCTTTTTTTATTAAAGGGTGAAGCACAAAAAATCGAACAATTGATGAAAGTGAGTCAAACATGAAGTATACTTATAATAAGAAAAATCAATTGTTCATCAAAAAAAGATTTGCTTTTTCTTTTATATTCGTTTTTATTAATTCTTTTTTTTTTTACTAAGGTATTTGGACAACGTTATTCTATAACAAATCCATCATCGTCACCATCGAATGTTGATACTATATTTATATTAGCTTTTGCTATTATTATGTTAAATACTGATTTACATAGTCGAAATATAAAATCTGAGAAAAAAATGCGTTTAGAACAATTTATTAAAAATCTTCGAGGTAAAAATATATTCATTTGTATATATATATGTATAACTAAATCAGAAAGAAATCTGGAATTTGATAGGAACATTTTTCTTTCTATATGGGCATGTGACGATTGCTTATGTATATATAGTAAATGTCGATTTTTTTTCCTAATGTAAATATGCACAGTAGGGGAACATAATGAATCTTTTACCATTACTGCAGGCTATTAGTTGTCGTAGAAAGGAAAACGAACGACACTGATTGCCAATTTGTCACATTTTTTTTTTCTACTTTTCCTATTTGTTTGCCTGCTTACAAACACGCTTATGATGAGAAGGATTATACTATAAGAAGAAGTTTTCTTTAACTTCTTTCTCTGTGTCTCGTTTACTTTTTCTTGACGTTTACATTTCCATGGTCGCAAGAAAAATTTATGTGGTATTTTCTTTTATGTGGATGTGTGCATATTCTGTATATTATTTGCGTGTCAGATTAATTTGTCGGCGTGTGAGCCGAAATGGATCGGAGAACAAGTGAATGTAAACCTCGATAAATCTTATGTTGATAGTGTTAGTAAAGATAGTTACAATATAAGTCTTTTCGATTTCTTCTTTAATGAGCCACGCAAATCCAACACATGCACCCTGATCGGATGGAAACTGGAATGTGCGCATCGATAGATAATCGAAAGGACAACATAGAGAATCATGCGTAAATACATTCAACAGAGTCTAAACTCGTTTGCTCATTTTATATATATTTATATATATATATATAGAACACAACTAGACAAGAATCAATTAGGAAACGTTTCTTCAAGTAAACAGCACTACTACCATACAAATTGACCATCTGCGAGCATCAAACAGAAAAAGAGAGAGAGCGAGAAAAGAAAGAAACGATGTTGTTGAGGCAATCCATATGAAGACTCGTCTTCTTCTGATTCTTTCTTTTTTTTCTTCTAACCGACTGATGTCTTTACTATTACTACATTTATATTATGCTTTTTGATAAATGAATCTTCAATACGTCGAATATCACATAGATGTTCTCACAATATATATGTATACAAATAAGAACAAAAAAAAAAGAATTTAACAACTATATAAGTCACTCAAAAAAGATCTTTTACTCTATTAAGCACTGTTATTCTACGACTAATTATGATAAGAATAGTCATCGTCTTCTTTTCTTTTTTATCTTTATCTTTTATTACATGTCTTTAAATTCAAATGAGATGTGCATGTTACATATACACTAGAGCATTATTGTATGTTGTCATCGATGATAATGGACATTGTGTTAACGAAGCGAAGCGAAATAGAGAAAAAGAAGAAGAAAAAAAGAAAGAAAAAGATGAAACAGATTAAAGAACATTGAACTAATGTGAATATAAAACGAAGCCTTTGTCATTCGAGTTCATTATTCCGACGCACTATCGTTAAAATGACATGAATAGAAAAACTAGAGTCATGACAGTAAATTATGGAAAACAACACAAGAACGAAAAGGCATGGATGAAATGATCTTTATATGTTGCTTTTTTTCTTTCTTTGTTTTTTCATATTTCCGATAGATTCATATAGGGTTTCACTTTGTATGCAAACGCATCTACTAGTAAAACTGACATGATTAGTGCATTCCAATGGTGACAGTCGAAATTTAATTTTGTCGATTCTTTTTCTTTTTCTTTCTTGCCTCTTCAATTAATTCACTATAATGTATTGAGAACTTGAACTATTGACATTTCAGTACAGATTAATCTAATGATTTCTTTTTCTTGTTCTTTTTTTTTTTTAGTATGAGAATAATTTTTTGATAAAGATCTTACTATTGGACCATATAGTTGCATACTAATTTGCGTCTCTCTCTTGCTCTTTCTTTTTTTGCGTTGTTTTTTTTTCTTTTCTGACATTAGAATAAAAAATAAGCAAAATGTGAAATAGACAACATTAGAAGATAATTAAAAACGTATTTTAATCAAAATCGATGCACACGTCATATTTTACAAGTAAATACCATGAATTTTTTGACAGACAAATTTTTCTTTTTTTTCCTTTGTTGTCTAACTTAATCAAAATGTTCAATCTCGTTTTGTTGATCAAAGAAAAACTTTCATATATGTTTGTATATATGTGTGTGTGTGTGTAAAAGTGGAAGAGAGGAAAAAAGAAAGTACGAGAAAATCAGATCATATGGTTTTTCTTTTCAAACTGAGAGAAAACACCCGACACTACCGTTGTTTGAGAAATAACTTTTACTTTGTCTTTTTTTTGTAGATTTTTCATTCGCTTTACTGTAATAATGAGACAAGGAAAGTGAGGGAGAACCGATTTCCGCTTTCTGCACAATCCAACACTCGTTCGTTATAGACAAGTCGAGAAAAATGCTTTTATAAGAACGAGCGTTCACTCACTTATTCACTCACTCTCACTCATCTACTTCTTCTCATCATCATTCTTGTCAAGGTCTTTTCGCTTGTTGACTGCTAGTATATACACTCATAGTCAAAATCGAATTTTGCTTCGGTTCATACAGACTTGTACGAACGGTCTCACTTCATGTCAATAATACTATTAATATTAAGAAGACGAAGAAAAGAATAAGAGAGTCCGAAAGAAAATCATTGCGTTCTTCTTTATTTCTTTGTCAATAGATAGACGAATATCGACGGAAAAGCTAAAGGGAAAAGAAGAAAAAAAAACGAGAAAAAAAAAGAAAGAGGAAAAAAAAATCAGAGAATAGAAACAAAATCGATCATTTCAATTTTCACAATACTATATAATAGACTGATTCTTTTCGCAAATCGCACCAACGACAGCGAACGGAAGCAAACTAAAAATGTCTTATTGAACCGGAGAAAACAGAGAGAGAGAAAGAGAGAACGGCTTTTCCATCGCTTCCTTATAGAATGTATGTAAAAGAGAAAAAAAGCGAAGGAAGTTACAAAAAGAAAAAAAGAAGAAGAACAAGAAAACCATCATCTATAAATCATCGACCGCTTGCATGCAGCAATGGCACTCATTGCTATCGTTCGGTTGTCGTCATTACGCTAAAGCAAAATGAGAGAAGAAAAAAAAAATTTCTATGTCAACAGATATTCAACATTCTTAAATGATGATTATTAAACAAGTCATATTATTATTATTATTATTATTTTCTAGCAATCGATTATGGTGAAGATCTCGATATTGATTATTTAACTGGTATTTATGAACGTATACGTGCAGAAGAATTTCGTCCTGATAGTGATCATGTAACACAAGTAGCTAAATTTGAACAAACACTTATTGGTAAAAAGCCAACATTAGTTGCATCACATCGTCGACTTGTATGTTATTGTCGTTTATATGAAATATATGATTTATCAAAACGTGAAAGACTTACAGCACATCAACGTGAAGTATTTCTTTTCAATGATTTACTTGTTGTAAGTTTCATATTTATTAAATACAAAAACAAAAGTTTGTTTTTATGATTTAGATTACAAAAATTTCCGGTAAAAAACGTCAACAATTACAATATCAATATCGTCAAGCATTTCGTTTATCCGGAATGAATTTATATTTATTTGAAACTACACGTAAGAAAAACTTCAAAATTTAGTATTTTATGATGAACTATAAAAGAAAAAAAATATTATTTCTAGATTATCAATATGGTATTCGTCTAGTACGTAAACCAGATATACATCAAACAAATTTAATAACATTTAATGCAAGAAATGAACATGATCGAACAAAATTTTGTGAAGATTTAAAAGAAGCTATTATGGAAATGGATGAAATGGAAGGTTTACGTATACAATCTGAACTTGATAAATTACGTGGTTCATGGAGTTCACTTGCAGATATATCAAATAATAATAATAGCAATACTACTAATAATAATGGAATTATTTCATCATTAATTGATTATCCAACAAATAAACGTGATAGACCATTATCAAGAACATTATCAAATTCATTACTTGATATGACATTAACAATGCCTGTTTCATCAATATGTAAGTAAAATGTACAATAGTATAAAAATTATTTATGTAAAATTCTTTTATTTTGTTTATGATAGTGAATCATCATAAAACAACGAATAATAATAATACTACTACTACTAATAATAATAATACATCGGATCTTTTGCCATGTCGAAATTCTCAATGTTCAGTTGATAGTGGAATGGTAAATAAAATAAAAATATTATTGATGAAATCGTGATCAGATCCTTTTCACAACCAAAAAGTGTCCATTCGACATGATTTTATGGTTGCTTTCAGGTTGTGGATAGGATGGATTACATATTCTTCTAACTTTTTCTTTTTTCGTTTTTTTTTTCGATTAGTATTACTTATATTATTATGATGACATCTTGTTTTCTTTTTTAAGGTTTCATTGACAAATGAGTTTTCACCAAATAATGGATTTAATATGCGTTTAACAACAACTAAATAAACAAAATCGATATCTATTCTAATTGTGAATTAATTCTACAGATAAAATTTTTATATATTATTATATACGTATTAAAGCTAGTCAGTCAAGTGTAAACAGTTGTTGTTTGTTGTTTTTTTTTTATATGTTCGAAATGAAGAATTTTTTGTATATGTTTAGAATTTTTTTTTGTGTGTATGCACAGTTGTGAAATAATGAAAAAGAGAAAAAAAGAACAATTGGTCATATTTAATGTGACTTTTTCCTTTTTTTTTTTTTCTTCTTTGTTTTATTTAATGATGATTTGATTGCATAATCATAGAAAACCTTTGAAGATTTTCTTTAGCTTTTAATGTTAATAAATAATTTTCATTTTGAAGTTGTTCAAATTCATTTGATAAATTTATTAATTCATTTGATTGTCGATTATGTTGATTAATAATTAATATATAATTTGTTTGTTTAATTATTCTATCATGTTGAATTAGAAATTCTTGAATTTGTGTTGTTAATTTAATTAGTAATTCATGTCGTTGTTTAAGTTTTAATGAATATTCATTCAATTGATATTTTGTATATCGATATTCATTTTTAAGATGATCAATTAAAGTTGATTTTTGATTCATACTTAATTGTATTGAAGTTAATAATTCCTTATAATCTATAATTAATTTCGATTTGAGAATAAATGGCACTATCTAAAGGAAAAATAAATTTATATTAGAAAAAAAAATAGCTTTAGTTTGTTAAAGAACGAACTTTTTCTATAATATGTTTTATGGAAGGTTGATTTAGTACATGATCAATTTGATTTCGTTTAACATTCATTTGTAAAAGACGTGTTTCAATCAATTCGATTGTATCAATAAAATTTTTATTAGTTCGAAGACATTCAATGATGATTGATAGTTCTTTAAAATGTTGATCAAATTTATTCAAATAATTTTGTATATTGTGAAAGTTTTTAATACATTGATGAAATTTTTGTAGAAATATATGATTATGTTCATCGGTTGTTAAATTATCATTTTTCAAAACAAGATTTATTGTTTTTTGAGATGTATTTGAACATATTTTGTTTATTGGAATAGGTGTTGAAAGAATTTCAGTTGAATTTTCTGTTATTGGACTTAATAAACGATTAGGTAATGTACTATTTAGAGTAGAATATTCAAGTAAAGGTCGATCATGTTCATGGATAGATTCTGATATAAAAGGAATTTCTGACGTCATTTAAACGTTACTTCACTGTACGATGAATGAAAAGATAAAGAATACAATGGATCTTACATATGACGACATAGTAGAAAGATAAAGAATGGATTATGATATCATGAAAGAGGGAGAGAGATATGTATAGTTTGAACGGATATAAGAGCTAACGCACATATGTTCAAGTTTTTACAAGATTAAAAAAGTAAAATTGCTGGTAAAATTAGTTAATCCATAGAAAATATAAATGTTTTCAATGGAAGAGTAGTATATAGATTTAGCCAATTTTATACTATTGATATATACTCAACAATCGTTCTTGTTAGCTGATATGTGTCATATATTTTTTATAATTAATTTTACATTTCTATTACTAATATAATAAAGGAACTTTGAAGTAACAATAAATTTTAACACAATTATTTAAGATCATATAATTGATTAATCCTTCTGCTTTGTTTTTTTTATAGTTAGTATCGTTCATTTTATACGTTTCGTTTTTGCTAGTGAAACACGACTTATTAAACCAGCTCAATCACTAATCATAGATTAAAGTAGAAATCTCTTCAGATGTCTCCTTCCATTTTGAATGAGACTTTTTGTCTACATATACAACATAGTGTTCTAAAAAAACCTCTAAAAGAATGATTTAACTTTATTGTTGAAATTTTATTCTAGAATTCCAAATTTTCGAATTTTTATCTACAACTTTGTCCATATAGAGAAATCACATAAAAATAATGCAGAGGTTTTCAACAAAATCTATTCAAGATGTCAAACTACTGAAAGCTTTTGAACTTTTTAATGATGAGTTCTTTATGTGCACAAAATTCCAAATGAAAATTCGATAATACAAATTTTCTGCAAGCCTGAACTCCTTTGAAGGTTTTGATTAGGATACTATGTCGTATATTTAGGCAGAAACTCATTGAAATAGGAAGGACACATCTGAAGAAATTCCCTCGTAAGGTTATAAAACCAATGTTGTTAAAAATCTTAGTCGGATTTCTATTACTAGAAGAGACAGATATCTGCTGAATTTCGAGTACTCTATTTAATTATTGAAGTGTACTTGAGTACTTTCTCATGAACTAACACGGCATAACAAGATTATTATACAATGAAAGTAGATTTTGACGATTGGCTACGGAAGATTGTTGTTGACTTTTAAAAACTTTTGAATGATGTAAAATATTTCTCAATATTTGCCCATAGATTAATGTGCGTTATCAATCTTATTGTCATTGGAAGCTAATGATGTTAACATTTTTGTAATAATAAGTGTCAGATATTTATCATACACTATCAATGACAAAGATAGTTTATATCAAAAAAAGAATAATATCTTGCTTCAAAATATGAATAATGTTTAATGAAACCCCCGCGAAACCAATGAAGTTAAGTACATTATTTGATCGATTTCTATTTGAAATAAAATCCATGCCAATACAGAATCATTTCAAACACTGTTGACAAATGAAAACCAAATAATGGATGTCCCATTATAAATGATCGGTTTTTTATTTCTTTCTTTTCATCATGTAAGTACGTTTCTTTTAAAAACAAAATATACTACAAGATGTAGTGTGAGAAGCTCTACAATTTACATAAGATCGCTTATTTTGTGGTTGTGCTTTTTGTTTTCAAAATGGACAAAACTCTGAACAATCAAATTTTGACCGTGCGCAGAAAATAATATTTTGGTACAATACGAATTCACTTCTTTTGTTATTTCATCTTTTTATCACCTGATATGTCTTCGTAAGAAAAACAAAATCTACCATAAGATGCAGCGCAAACGGCTCTACAATCTACACAGTGAAGCGCATTGTAATTGTTTTGAAAAAACAAGCAAAATTCTGTGTGACCAATTTTGGCACGGTCGAAATTTGATCGCTCAAAATTTTGCCCATTTTGAAAACAACAAGTGCAACTATAAAATAACGATCTTATGTAAACTGTAGAACTTTTCACGCTACATCTTGTAGTATATTTTGTTTTTAAAAATAAACGTACTTGATGATGAAAAAAAGAAATACAAAAACCGGCCATTTATTATGGGACACCCATTATTTCTATCAATACTTATTGTTTAAAACTATAGAACGGCAGAAGATTATCTTTTCGAACTCTACATTTTAGTTTATATTTTTATAACTTAATAGAACATTGAATCAGTAAACTTTTATTTCAAGAAATTCGAAATATGAAGTTTATCATTTTGTTGAAATACATATCTGATGGTCGCTATTATCAAAAACAATCATAAACTGTTTTTCATTATCGATAACAATTAGAAAGTCTCTACATTTATGATTATCAGTAAATGTTTTAATATGATGAGTCATACGTTAAAGCTGAGTGATTGAATCTTTGAACTGTTTAACACTGTTATTCGATGTTGGATTGATCCAAATACTAACGAAATTTCCAATGATACGCGATCGTGCAGATACTAATAGTATATATTCATTTTTCTCAAAGAGCTGATATTATCAGCGGAGTCAAGTATTGCATTAATTCAACGACGGATACATACTCCATATCATAATATTATACAGGACTATTTACGTATGAGCAAAAAAGTACTTGAAATGAAATATGAATTAAGATTACGTATGAATTATTAGGACGAATTGTACATCTTAAATATCTTTTTACTAATCTTTACTGGTCATTTTGTCTGTCATTACTAACAATGATTAATGTTAGGCATACGTCTGAGCTTGATTTTAGCTAGTAAACTAGTATTCAATTAACTAAATCTGGTGCATATTTAAATAAGGTTCGATTTTGATTTGTTAATTCTTCGAATAGTCATTTTTTTGCATCGCCGATATCAAAATGTTCTTCTCTTTAGCTTTCTTTGTAGTTTGGAGAATATTTCATCAATACAATCTTCGATGTTCTGTTTTCATTTTTATATTATTTTTACCAAAGCTTTCTATACTTCTTATGAGGAAACTTTTGCAAATTGAAAATCACTTTTGAGTTGAGACTCTGTACCTAAAATAAACCTCGAAGGATATTGGTTTTCTTGAACTTTCCTACAAATTAGTAGCCATTTTATTGAAGTTTTAGCTTACAGCACGATATGTTCAAAAGAATTGAATGAAGACAATTTGACCCAAAATCTTATCCATAGATAGATCTGCTTGTAACTAGAATATCCTAAAAGTTTCAGCTCAAAGGAATGTTACTTTCACGAGATGTTGAATTTCCAAAACTCACTAATATCTCACGAAAGATTCGAGAATCTCATAGTGTTTGGAAATTCAGTATCTCGTCTAAGAGACATTCTAGTTAAAATTAGACTTATCAATAGGCAAGGTATCAAATCAAAATATTCTTATTCCATTCTTGTGGAAATATCATAGTAGAGACTAAAGTTTTAGTAACACGGTTATAACTCTATAAGGAAGTTCTAGGGAGGACGCTTATTCTTCTGGCTTTTTACATCTAATTTGGGTCTTTCTATATACAGAGTCCCAGCTTAGAAACGATTTTTTAATATGGAATTGTTACCTCGTTCAATTTATCGCCCGCATTTAAATAAAAAAATATTAGCAAGGAAACTATCTGAACTAATACCCGCCGTTTAAGTTCATATTGGGACCAGAAATAGGATTCCGATGAGACTGGCAAAAGTCTATAAAGGCTTGTCTCTATGAGTTCTTGCAGGCAAGTTATGACAGGTTTACTGGCTTTTCTACTCATCTGTAGGTAGTCTCTGGAAAATTATATCATGGAAATTCGATCTCGAATTTCGCTTATAAATAAGTCTGATAACTCTTAGAATATTCTGATAG